TATATAAGCTGGAAAAGTTGTTGGGGAGGGAGTTCAGGAAGAAGAAGTGGATGGGGAGGGCTAAGCGTCCTCCCTGCTTTTTTTCTGCAAAATCTCTCCCTCCCATTTTATGTCAGGAAGCAAGTAAGCACTCCCGCATTTGCTGCCAAAAATCTAATTTACTTCCCTTCATTATGTCAGGAAGAAGACACTAAATTCTGAAATGAATTGTCTTACAAAATGCCACTACTCTATCCAGTTATACTCTGCAGATACTGGAATAAAGGACCCCTCTTGATATTAAGTGATAAAGTAGGCATCCCCTGATATGACCCAAGCCTCCATTATCGCAAGACAAGTACCTCACATCCGCAAGACTGTTATTTTTCTGGAGTTGCCAAACAGGAGATGTTTCCACACGCACAAAGAGGAGGTAATAAAACAAATTGGCCTCTGGCATGGGAAGAAGCGAATCCACCCATCTGGCCAGCCTGTCTAGGAATTCACACATTTCCTTCCTCCTTTCTGGGAAAACCAAACTTCAAAAGCATATAAGATACATATCAAAGACTTCTTTGATCTGGTCCATGGAAGCCCTGGTCCCTTTGCCCAGACTCAAAATTCCTTTAAATATGAGAGCTTTTCCTTTGTCCATTGGCTTAGTTTGCTTTCAGACAGAAGTGCCGCCAGATTTGCTATGCCTCTCATCGCTTCTCTATCAAGAGAGCGGATGAGTCTCTAATGCCCATCTTAACATCAGCAGGAGAAGAAGCAGCCATCATATTCAGGTCGTATGTCCCTTTATAAAGCCTTTTTCATTCCCACTTAACTCTTTGTTCCCTATTCCTAGTGGAAGTGTGTGTGTGTGTGTGTGTGGATGTGGATGTGGATTATTTTCTTTTAAATAAAACTTGTAACTTGAAGTTGTCTCTGGACTTCTTTATATGTTCTAACTCGGTATACACAGGTAAAAGATCCCAATTAATACAGCCAGTTCCATTTGAGCTAATTATAATTCCTCCATATATACATTTAAGTTTTGCCATGATATCACCACATACACCATTTTCCCATCATGTGAACTGTTTTAAACAACTATAACAGTAGCTAAACCCATGGGAAACCATTCAAGTGTACATGAAAGTGACATGGAAGCCAGGAACAATTCTATCACTTTAGGGTGCACTGTACACTGTAGAAATAATATGCTGTAGAAATAATAAGTGCTGTAGGTCCATTCTATGGAATCCTGGGATTTGTAATTTTACAAGGTCTTTAACCTTCTCTGCCAAAATATGCTGTGCCCCACAAAATTACAAATCCCAGGATTCTGTAGGATGAAGCCATGGCAGTTAAAGTGGTACCAAACTACATTATTTCTACAGTGCAGATGCACCCTTAATTTGCTGTTTTGGTGAGCCAAGCCCTTGTTTTTGTTGAAGCTGAAGCCCCCAACACCAAATGGGGAGGAATGGAATCACAATCTGACAGCCAGACATCAGTTAGCTATATATTTGGTATATAGCTCCATGGTCTTGAGCTCCCTTACTAGAGAGGCTAAACTGGCAATCTCCTTCCATAGGCAAGTGAGAAACCTTTGAAAACTGATTGTTGATGGAGGAAGGATCTTTAATCATGTGTTGTGCTATCTGTATGTCTTGATTTCTTTCTAAATAGTTACATTTTAAGTGCTGTTAATCCTAATAATTGAATTATGTTTTTACTTTTGCATGATATGAGCTTTTATCTGTCTCCTTTTTAACTTCTATAAGCCTCCTGGAGCCTCAGGACTGGGGGAAATGTAGTATACACACATGCATACAATTTAAAAACAGCCATATTTCTGACACGTTTGCTCTAGATCCCTAAAGGGTGCAGTTAGTAAGCAAGCAGACACCACACATTGGAATCATTGAAATGATTAAGAAACTAAACTAAATAAATGAATTAGCAAAACATTTGGGCTTCTGCCTCCTTCTGTTGCTGAAAATAAAATTAAACTGCATCCAAGGTGGGAGGTTAGAACACTCTAGTGCTAACATTCTTAAGGGCATGATTATATTTATGTATCATCCTCCAGGTTAAGACCATAAGGTGTTAAGTTCTTGAGGTGCATTTTTTTTTCAAGTACTTGGAATGTAAGATAGAATTTCTAGATCCAGAGACTTAAGTCCTTAACATCTTATAGTCTTAAGTCTGTGGATCCAGAAATTCTCTCTAATATCCAAAGTACTTGAAAGAAAGGCCACCTCACTTCCAAACATAAAGGGGTTGCAGACTGCCAGAAATAGTGCAAATTGAGTCCACTTTTAGGGTTAGGGTTAGTGCTAGGGAATCATAGGAATTGTGTTGTTTTTTTTCTGAGACATTGAGCCTTCTCTGTCAGAAAGCTCTAGTGCCACAATAAAATACAGTTCCCATGATTCCCTAACCCTAAAAGTGGACTCAATTTGCACTATTTCTGGCAGTCTGCAACCCCCCGGCTATGACATTCCAAGTAAAAATGTCTAGCTGCTGGTTGCTCAAAATTCCTGGATAGGATTTTCAGGTGTGTGTGTGTGTGTATGTGTGTAGCAGACACAACCCTACACACTTACCAACACATGTACACAGAGCTGTACAATGAGAGGGGGATCCTCACCCCTATGTGGCAGAACTTCCTGGGAGCTAGTGATGTCACTAGGAAGGTGAAGGGGTGTGGAACACACCGGGCGTACCACCAGGTGGGGTGATACACCCGGAGGGACTGGCATGGCTATTGAGCAAGTGAGAAAGGGCACTTTCTCACTTGCTCAGAATCTGCACCAGACCCTAAATGGGCCCTCTGGAGGCCACGGCATCAGTAGTGGTGGTTGCAGCCATGTCAGACCCTGAAGGCTTTTGTGGGACTGTCTTTAGATTGTAGCAATACCCCCTCCTGCATCGGGTGGCACCAATGTCAGCGATGCTACCACTGGGAGCCCCTTTTCCATGGGTACTGAATGTATGGCTAGCAGAAGAGGTATGACTGAGTCCCACTCTTGAGGCCTTTGAACATGTTTGTTTGCATCTTTGATACCAGTATTTCCAACATCTGTATAAACTAGCATCTGTAAAAGGTTTCTCTGCAGTTACTGTTAAATATCTTTGTACAGTTTCTTTGGAGCTACTAAAATGGTTTGATTTATTTTTTTAATTTTCTGTTGTATCAAGGCACCTTAGCCTCACATCTTTCATTATTCTCTTTGTACTATGAGGGATTTTGTTTGTGTATAAAATATAAAAACCCTTTCAGTCTTTTATGCATGACTTGCCACTTTCCCCCGATGAATTTAATATTTATTTGTTTATTTATATTTTATTTATTAAAATATTTATATCCTGCCCTACACCAAGAGATCTCAGAGCAGCTTACAGATAGCATTGAAACAATAAGGGCCTTTGCAGACTGCCAGAAATAGTGCACATTAAATTGAGGCACTGCCCTGGCTTAGTGCTAGGGAGTCATGGGAATTATTTATTTTCTGAGAGTTTGAGCCTTCTCTGTCAGAGAGCTCTGGTGCCACAATAAATTACAGTTCCCATGATTCCCTAGCACTGAGCCAGGGCACTGCCTCAGTTTAATGTGCACTATTTCTGGAAGTCTGCAAAGGCCCTAAGAAAGTATAAATAAGCTATATTGAGGGGTTGGCAAGTTTTTCTTATCTGAGGCTGGTCCGCTGGCCTCCAGGTCTTCCATGGCCGAGGGGGTGGGGAAATGGTGGCATGCACACTCACGCATGTGTGCAGCCCCCACTGGCCACCGACCCCTGCCGCCACGCATGTCGCGGCCACCATTTTATTTTCTAAAATGGCAGCTGCGACTTGTTTGCACATGCGCCGCATATGCAAACGAGTCGTGGCTGCCATTTTGTTTTCATAAATGGTGGCTGCGGCTTGTTTGCACATGTGCAGGAGTACTGCTCATGCGCAAATGAGTCGCGGCTGCCATTTTGGAAAAAAATAGCCATGATGCATAGCGGCGGGGTCAGGGGGGTTGGCGGGGGCCGTTCCAAAGGCCTCAGGGGGCCAGACTCGGCCCGCAGGCCATAGGTTGCTGACCCCTGGTATAATCAGCTTAAAATATATTTTTTTAAAAAATAGAATTTTTTAAAGCAATAAATGGCAGCCTTGGATTGAATTAATAATAATAGTATTAATTAATAATAAGGTCTAAGGGTCTAATGGCAAACAGCCAGGATTAGCTTGGGCACCTAAATGTCGGTGCCAGTCTGGCCTCCAGGGAGAGAGCATTCCACAGTTTGGGTGCCATGGCTGAGAAGGTCCTGTCTCATGTGTCCAGGACCTCATTGGTAGGACGCAGAGAAGCTCAACCTCAGCAGATCTTAATATTCAGGCAGGCACATATGGAAAGAGGCAATTCTCAGGTATCAAATCCCGAGAATTCAGACCAAAAACATATTGGCAGCCAGTGCAGTTCTTTTAAGACTGGCTTCTGACTTCCAGTCAAAAGTCAAGCTGCTGAATTTTGCACTACCTGCCACTTCCAAATCTTCTTCAAGGGCAGCCTCACATTGAGTGCATTACAGTAGTCTAATTGGGAGGTTACCAGCACATGGACTACTGGGCTAGATTATCACTAGAAAACATATCCAGGGATAGCTATGTTGACCATACAGCAAAGTATAATAACATTCAAATGCCACAAAGAAGTGATGCCTTTATGGGGCCAACCAAAATGTACAAAATACACAATACAAGGTTTTGAAGCTCCACTGGCTTCTTCTTAGGGAGTCACTGCTCAGATAATATGGTACCAATACTCCAAGCTATGTGAAGGATGCAACTGATTTTCTGAGGGAAATATAGCCTATCTGCAAGCTGCCAGAGAACATCATCCTAGTAACTATGGATGTGGAATCCCTGTACATTGACATCCTACACATGGACGGACTATAACCATCAGAAACACTGGAATTATTTAATCATATTAAAAATGGCATTCTCTTTGCAAAATTAATTTGCCCGGTTTTAGCGCATTCATCTATGTAATTGACATAGTGGTTTGAACTTTAGACTAGGACTCTGGAGACCAGGGTTCAATTCCCTGCTCAGCCATAAAACCCACTGGGTGACCTTGGCCAAGTCACATACTCTCAGCCTCAGGGGAAGCCAATGGGAAACCTCCTCTGAACAAATGTTGCCAAGAAAACACCATCATAGGTTTGCCTTATGATTGTCATAAGTGGAACTGACTTGAAGTCACACAACAACAACAATGGCCCAGACATTTGGCTCATTGCTTAAAGGAAAACATTCTGGCACTTGAAAAGGATCGGGGGTGGGGGTGGGGTAAGGCCTGGTGTGTCCAGAGCTTGGCCCCTCTAAGCCAGGAAAATAATTTAACTCATATTGAAATTCTTGACAAGAGCATCAGTTTTTACACACATATCAGCTTCTTGCAGGCCAAAGCTCTCCCCTGGCTTGGTTTTCAAAATGTGAATGTTTGTGAGGCTTGTGCTGACTTTTGAAGAAATGGAATATGTACTGAATATTCAGATGCTACATATGTAAGTCACTACAATTGTTACAATTGAAAAATACACATCATGCTTTAGTCTCAGAGAAACACATACAAGCATATATACTTTCAGATAAAGAAATACAGAATATGTATATGAATTTCTCTCTGTGTCTGTGCATGTGCCTTCAAGTCAGCTGTCAACTAATAGCAACCCTATGAATTCCATAGGGTTTTCTTAGACTAGGATACTCAGAGGTGGATTTGCCAGTTCCTTCCTCTGAAATATAGCCTACAGCATTTGGCCTTTGTTGGCAGTCTCTCATCCAATTACTAACCAAAGCTGATCCTACTTAGCTTCCAAGATTAGACAGGAACTGGTACATTTAGGGCATTTAGGCCTCTTAATTTTCATACTAGAAGGAAAAACAAAATCTTGCAACCTGGTACAAACATGGGGCTGGCAGGTTTGGGGGAAAGTGACAAAATCAAGGTTGAAAGTTTTTCATATTCCTCATCGTAACTGGGTACTGCTATTGCATATGTGCAGGAGTCTATTGCCATCAGTTAATGCCATTCATAAACCATATAAGGAACTATGAAATTGCCACCATCTGACTACCTGTGTCATAGTCAGAAAGCAGAAAATAACCAACACAGAGAGCAGATAGCTCAAGAAAATTATCCATGCTGATGTCATGTGCAGTGTCATCCCATTTACACATCATTTGCAAGCACTTCTCCTTAACAGATGTCTTTTTAAAAGAAAAAGGGAATGAAATATTTACTGGTAAGTGGTTTTTTAATTCCCCCCTTGTAATGTGGCAAGCTGACTTTTAAGTAGAACTAACACTTGTGGAGTGTTCATAGCTAGAGTGTTCATTTTCCTAATAATGCTTTTCAAATAACAGCTCCATAAACACACCATTGTATTATTGTACAGCATCTGGTGCCTAGTTTTCCAGTTCTAGTTTTTTCATAACTGAAAGAAAAGAAATTGTCAAAAGTAGAAGAAACCCCATGTTGTTACCATCAACATTTAGAAGAATGTTTTCAAACATATCAAGTCACTTCCATTTTATCATTTTCAGGCTGGTGAAAGTAATCTGATTACTGTATATACTCATGTATAAGTCTAGAAATTTTAGACAAAAAATTGACCCCAAAAATCTGAGTCAACTTATCCACAGGTCAATGTAATACGACACCGTTAACTCTCATAAAAATAAAAACCATCCCCTGGTGAAAGGGAGGAGTGTAATCTATCCTAGAAACACTGACCCCCCTCTACTCTTTTGTCCATCCATCCTTCAGTGTGAACACAGTTATGCCTCCTGCAATTTTGTAAGTTCTTTGGCATCGTTTTCCTTTGCTTAATCCTTTAGAGCCTTTATTACATGACCCATGACTCTTGACTTATCCACGGGTCACATCAAAATCCATAATTTTGGCCCCCAAACCTGTCCTCAACTTATACATGAGGATGACATATAGTTGAGTACATACGGTACCTTATTATAGTTTGAAGTACACTGGACAGATATTTGGAAATCAAGGCAGAAACATACAGTTTCTGTACACCAGTTCTCACTTTTTGTCCATCTAGCTGGTATGCTTCGTTCTGATAGGTAATAGTGCTTTAAGGAATCAGGCTGTTTTTCTCATCACACGTTACCTGATCCTTTTAGCTGGAGATGCTAGAGATTAATTTGGATACCTTTTGTATGCAAACCATGTCTTCTTCATCTGGTTAGGATGATATACCTCTTATCATGGTCAGCTAATTTAAACCTGCTGAAACAGGAGGGGGAGAGAGAACAAGAAAAGTCCATCAGTCTTATTCAAAACTTTCATAGTCTTTACATGAAGAGAGGGTTGTAAACATTTAATATTTAATTGACAGTATAAAAAGCAAAGTCTCTAGATTACAGTGATGGTTGGTGCCCTCCATGTCAGCAAGATTAATCTAAACTCTGGTGTGGATTCATTGTCCCACTGACCATTGTTCCATTAATATTGCCTATTTATCCTTCTTCACTATGGATTGTGGGAGACATTCCAATGTCTCATCTACTAATCTAAATCAGTGATGGGGAGCAGCCTGCAGTTTGTCCAAAGTTTTCAGTTCTGTACTTTTGAAAGAGTAATTCCTCTTACAATTTTAGAGTAAATGGTGGTTCACATTATTAACTGTAGATTATTTTGCTCTATCCTGTCCAGGGGTGAAATGTTTTGCAAGTTTTAGAGACCCTTAGAAAATGAAAAGTACGACAATGTTCAATAGCACAAGAAACAATACTCTGCACCTTTAGACGCCTTGTAATCTCCATTACTCTGTCATAAGCATGTGCCATAGATTGATCCTACAGTGATCACTCAATTTTTACATGGCCTTTGGCTGAGCTCCTTTCCAAAACAACAGCTACCCTGTAAACATTCAGCTTTTGACCTTAAGTATTTAACACTGGTACTTTTTTGCTGAAGGAATTAGATGTGTTTTTATTTTTCCTACCTTAACCAGCAACAACAGCTGTATACTACTAAGAAATCTACTGTTAAACCAGTGTGGGTAACATGTAGCTCTCCAGATGTTGCTAGTCTGTAAATAAAGATGCAAATTTTCATGTATAAGTGAAAAATTTCAAATTTTTCTCCTACTGCAGTTAGGTTGAAGAGTTTTGTGTAGCTGTCAATAATTTGTCACACTGAAGACAATTTTTTGAAAAAATGATTCATGCAACCCTACACCAACACCTTGGTTATTCAAACTGAAAATTGTGTATTTTGTGCAAAAAAAAAAAAAGATAATTTTTGCACAAAAAGCAATTTTTTTTTTTGCATAAACAGCTTTTTCAGAAGAACAAACAAACAAAATGCAGAAAGCAGTTGACCATTTTCTTGAGCAAGTATCAAGACAACATTTGAATATTCCTGACTACGCTTTATGCTATCCTGCTCATCCCTCTCTGTTGATTGTGCTGACACAGTGTTGGCCATGCTTGTTTTTTCTATATGTACACACAAAAGTGGAAGCCATCATGGCTGCCTGGCATTCTCTTACAACATACAGATGTGTAAGTGTCCCTTACAGCTATGGATGTCCTTTTTTGAGTACTGCTATGATAATTATTCCTTTTCTTCCACTACACTGTCAAAAGCATCTCCCCCCACCCCCATTTTTTTATTGTAAAGCTTTGAGATGTTCCACATGGCCATTCTGTACTTTGTAGTGAGAAGGCAGAATCGGAAAAGCAGTTGACTACATCCTCATAGCCAGACATCCAAAGATGACATAAGTGCTGAGATTCACAGGATTTCCAAGGGTCTTGGTGCTTTTGTAATCACTGTGCATCTGTGTATGAGGAGGTAGCCAGGACCTTCGCTGATTCTGCCTGCTTGCTGAAAAGCATAGAATGGCCATGTATACTCTCTCCCTTACAATATGTCATGGGGAAGGTATATGGTCCAGCATATTACAGATCCCTGTGTGGATATTTATGCTAATCTGAGGGAATGTTGGACTGAGTTTCATAGTATGTCCTTTAAAGGGTGACATATCCTTTACCAGGAAGTTCACTCACACCTGGCCTGTTTTCAAAGTTAGTCTCTTATTCATTAGATCAGATGGATTTGCATGTTAAACTAATAGTAAGACTTCTTAATGTTTGCAGAATTGACAGGAAATAAAATGGCAAAAATTATTTTAAGAGGATTCCCTTTTAAATCAATTAAATATGAAATTCAGAGACCTCAGCAATGGCCCCCTCCCAAATTTAATGTCATGATAAAGGGGACATTGTACCACATCAAGTCTAATAAATGGCTTTGGTTATTACACACAGCTGGAGTTCTGTAGCACTGATCTAATAAATTAAACAATTTATTTGCCTTTTCAGCTTTTGTTAGAATAGCAGAGCAGGCAAGGATTTTTCCTATAAACCATTTTCATAATCCTTTCTAGTAGATCAGAAAGTAAATTGGAACACTCCAGGGTACATTTTACTTGTAGGAAAATGCTGACTGGAGATTCCAGGAGTTCTATTACAGTAAAGTAATGTTTCCATGCTCTGGGTATAGGTCAGCCACTAGTAGCTATTAGGCCAAATCTGGTCTCTTGAGAAGAGCCATCTATCCCATCAAATTTACCATTTGTAATTGAAGTAATAGTGGCCATTGGTAATGCCTAGGCTTCTGTTCTTTACCATTTATCACATCTTCAGTCTGGTTATCTAGTAAAGTTAATTTCTAATATAATTTCTCAGTAGAATAGTAGATTCTTAGAGTTGAAAGGTACAAGGAAGCCCATCTAGTCCAATGCCTTGATAAAGGAATACATAGATAAAGCATTCCTGAAAGATTACCACCACTCTCTGAGGTAGTACAATCTACTTTTAAACAGCTATTACAGTAAAGATGGTCATCTTAATGTTTCAGTGGAATTTCTTTTGTTGTAATTTGAATCCATTGGTTCAGTGATATCAGTAGTGTTGGCTTCATCAGGTGCCATAACTTATGGTGTCAGCCCCCCCATTGACCTCCTCCATCCCACACTATACAGAATCTTTAGTCATGTTTTTTGTACTGATGTTATTCATTA